GGCATATGATCAAGAACCAATGGTACTGAAAGAAGAAGTCTAAGCTGCACTGAAGGAATTGGTGAAGACCAGGGCTCCAGGAATTGACAGAATACCCATTGAGATGTTTCAACAAGCAGATGCCCCACTGGAGGTACTCGGCTATGCCAAAAGATTTGGAAGACAGCTGCCTGGACAACTGACTGGAAGAGATCCATATTTGTACCCATTCCAAAGAAAGGTGATCCCACGGAATGTGGAAATTATCCAATAATATCATTAATATCACACGCAAGTAAAATCTTACTGAAGATAATTCAAAAATGGTTAGAGCAGTATATTGATAGAGAACTTCCAGAGGTGCAGGCTGGATTCAGAAGAGGACGTGGAACAAGGGACATCATTGCTGATGTCAGATGGATCTTGGCTCAAAGCAGAGAATACCAGAAAGATGTTTACCTATGTTTTATTGACTATGCCAAAGAATTGATTGTGTGGATCATAACAAATTGTGGATAACATTGACATGAATGGGAATTCCAGAACACTTCATTGTACTCATGAGGAACCTGTACATAGACCAGGAGACTGCCGTTCAAACAGAACCAGGGGACACTGCATAGTTTAGAATCAAGAAAGAGTGCATCAGGATTGTATCCTTTCACCATACTTATTCAATCTATATGTTGAGCAAATAATCTGAGAAGCTGGGCTATATGAAGAATAACTTGGCATCAGGATTGGAGGGAGGATCAATAACAACCTGCAATATGCTGACAACACAACTTTGCTTGCTGAAAGTGAGGATGACTTGAAGCACTTACTGATGAAGACTGAAGAATACAGTCTGCAGTATGGATTACACCTCAATATAAAGAAAACAAAAATCCTCACAACTGGACCTATAAGCAACATCACAATAAATGGAGAAAAGATTGAAGTTGCCAAAGACTTCACATTGCTTGGTTCTATAATCAACGCCAATGGAAGCAGCAGTCAGGACATCAGACAACACATAACACTGGGCAAGTCGGCTGCAAGGGACCTCTTTCAAGTGCTGAGGAGCAAAGATGTCTCCTTGAAGATTAAGGTGTGCCTGACTAAGCCATGATATTTTCAATTGCCTCATATGCATATGAGAGCTGGACAATGAGTAAAGAAGACCAAAGAAGAGTTAATGCTTTTGAGTTGTGGTGCTGGTGAAGAATGCTGAAAGTCCCATGGACTGCCAAAAGAACTAAGAAATCTGTCCTGGAGGAAGTGCAGCCTGAATGCTCCTTGGAAGCAAGAATGGTCAGACTTTGTCTCACCAACTTTGGTCATGTTGTCAGAAGGGACCATTTCCTAGAGAAGGATGTCATGCTTGGTAAGGTGGAGGATCGACGAAGGAGAGGAAGGCCCTCAATGAGATAGATTGACACAGTGACTGCAGCAATGGGGTCAAATATAGCAGGGATTATGGAGCTGGCGTGGGATCAGGCGGTATTTCGTTCTGCTGTGCATAGTGTTGCTATGAGTCAGAGATGACTCGACGACACCTAACTACAACAACCTGACAACAAGGAGTGTATCTACCTGGTGTAAAATGTTCACCCTCTATGCCTTTCTGTTGTTTGGCTAGAAGACACAGGAAAGGGTCCAATTCTAGGCCTGAAGAGTAACTAGGGGCCCCATAGCCTCAGGGATCTCACCAGGTTTTGTCAGACCAGTCTTTTTTTTTTTTTTTTTTTATGATTTTGAGTTTCATTCTACATTGTTCCCCCACTCTATCCAGGATCTCCTATATTGATCCCATGCTGTTGGCCTCAGGGACACTACACCCACAAGTCCCTACATTCTCTCAGACTACCTGCCCAAGTAGTATGTCCCAACTCACTGCTCACCCCTTACCACCTTTCTGGATGAGCGACATATCCCAAGAGCCACTTTCTACCCTGTACCCTAGACAACCCAGAGATCACACAGCCTATCACCCTGTCTTCCTACATCTCTCCTTCCCCCTCCCCACATCACTACCCTGGCTGGGCCCTGTGTGTGGTCAACAGCCTCCTTGTTCCTTCAATCACCCTTCATACTCAAATGTGTGATCCTTGTCTGTAGACCCCTCCGAGGGCTGTCCTGGTTATAAGAGCGTGTCAGACCCTGAGCCCATCTGCATTCCATTCCTAGCCTACCAATCCACTCTGACTTGAGTGCTGGCAAGTGTGACTCATTGTGCAGGGCCCCCTTTGGCAATACCCTTCCCCTCCATGCCCATCTTGTCCATCTGACCAGCACCTCCCAGTCCCTCATGAGCTTGGCCTTTCCTACACACTTAGACTGCCAGTCATGGGGAGGCACCTCTGTCCAACAATGTAGGCAAGCTTGCACTGGCCCCCACTGACTGCAAATATCTCAAGGGTGGGACCCTGCTGGGCTCTGAACCTAGTTGCTCAGATGAAACAGGAGATAACGTGTCCTCATGGACTCACATGTGTGCTTAGTGTTTGCATGAGGTGTGATGTGTCAGTCTACATGTGTGTCTGTCTCCTTCCAGGACATCATCAACTCCATGAGCAATAGCCCTGCCACCAGCAAGCCCCCGGTGACGCTGAGGCTGGTGGTCCCTGCCAGCCAGTGTGGCTCACTCATCGGCAAAGGTGGTTCCAAGATCAAGGAGATCAGGGAGGTAAGGATTCCTATTCTGGCCCCAGAGGCAGACGCTGTCCCTGAGGACCCGGAAGCCCTCATCACAGAGCATCATCTGCACCATCACCACATGTGACCACACAGGTCCTGCTACCACTGCTTGAGGGAACTTACAACATGGGGACAATCCATATGCAAACAGAGGCTGAAATGTGGGAAAACATCCAAAGTGCATTGACCCCCATGTTAGCAGCAGGCAGAGGGTTGTAATGTCCTATGGGGGAAGAGTGTGCCTGGGATCCAGGAGGGGTGCCTTCACTAGGGTGAGGGATAGGACCTCTTAGGATTGGGGGAGCTGTGTCACAACGGGATAAATGGGGTTAGGTCGTGTGCCTAGATTGGGTGGACCCAGGATATGTATCCCCTACTGCCTTTAGGCTTTGGGGCTCTCTTCTGGGGCTGTCAGCCCTCACTCGTGGGAAGCTACTCAGCTACCCTCCAGGTCCTGGTCAGATGGAGCTGCATGCAGTGTGGATTTTACAGTCACACATCCATCTTAAGAGAAATCTTAGTTGTTCCTTTGCCCAGAAGGACTTTGCTCAGAAGGAAATCAGCTGTTCTGATCTTAGTTCCTCTGGGAAAGACAGCCTACCATTTTAGGGCAGGAGGGAGGAGGGAGTATGAGCAGGGAAGGGGCTCAAGTTACACCACATTGTGGCCCAGCCCCCATCAAGAGTTCAAGGTGCTCAGTCTTCCATTCACATACAGGGTCAGGAAACACCCCTGCCTGGGGAGTCTCTGTTTGTCTGTCTGTCTCTCTCTCTCTTCCTCTGTCTCCCCCTCCATGCTTGCTTTTTTCCAGTCCACAGGTGCTCAGGTGCAGGTGGCAGGGGACATGCTGCCAAACTCTACTGAGCGGGCAGTGACGATCTCGGGGACACCTGACGCCATCATCCAGTGTGTCAAACAGATCTGTGTGGTGATGCTGGAGGTACACTGTTGCTGCAGGGCACAGATGGCTCAGGGAAGCACCCCTGTCCTCAGCAGAGTCCTGTCCAACATCCTGGAAGCCCGTGACTTGGCCTTGTGGTGACTGGCCACCCCCATCAAGTTGTGGGCTTCCAGGACACCCCAGTGGGTATTGTTCTGGGCATGGGTGCCTGCCCTTGTCCAAAGCAAAGTCTGGCTGTGTGTAGGTGGTCACTGTCACCCATGGAGCATCTGAGGAGATGTTCAGGGAAGAGCGAGCCTTCCCCTCACTCTTGAAACTGTATGAAAAGTTTTTTGCCCCTCATGTGGGATTTCAGGAAAGGGTCAGCAGCCGTCAGCATGGGGAAAATCTGTGGGGGAAGCAGTCCTACGAGGAGGTAACAGGAACAGGAAATGGTTAGAAATAAGGAGGATACCCTTGCCTTCCTCAAGTAGAGGAGCTGGTTGCAGGGGAGATGAGCTTTGATTTGCATTCTAGGTGGCTGGGAAGTTGCTTTTTAGATGAAGAATGCAAAGACCAGAGCTCTCTCTATAGTCACAAAAGCATGCAGATGGTGGAGTCAGAACAGTCATTGAGGTACAAAGGTCAAAATGAGGGAAAGCATATGAAAAGCTCAAATTATAATAATAAAAATAAGTAAATAAAAGGATTAAAACAGAGAAATAAAGAAGATACAACAGCTGAAAGCAAAAATGCTTTTCTTGAAATATTGGGGATCAAACCTGAAATTTAAACTTCACAGATACCCAAAATAAAGCAAACACATGAGGCTTTAAATAGAGTCTCTGGTCTTTTCTTAAAGGAGCTCTGGTGGTACAGTGCCTAAAGCATTTAACTACTAACCAGAAGGTTGGCAGTTCAAACCCACCAGCCACTCCGCAGAAGGAAGACTGGGCAATCTACTTCCGTAAAGATTTACCACCTCAGAAACCCAATGGGGGTCGCTATGAGTCAAAATAGACTCGATGGCAGTGGGTTTGGTTTGGTTTGGTTTTGGTCTTTTCTTAAGTTAAAACTGAACAATCCTACATCAAAGTAAAGGCTTCAGCAGCTTGGCTAGGCCAGTTCCTACATCTCTACCTGTGCTGCCCTGGAAAGGCTGGACTTCCTCACAGGCAGTTCCTTTGGCCATGCAAGGAAGGCATCCAGATTTTCCAGAACAACATCCTAGTGCTTCCCTTCAAGGGTAATCTCAGGTAGTGACTTACTCCTGGACCCAGAGAGTGCTCATCCTGGCACCAGAAGGTCTGGCCCCAGACACCTTTTGCAGCTTCAGTGGCTATGGCACTTATATTAGGAAGGTCACCTTGGCTCCTGCAGCAGAGATGATTCCAGACAACATCCCTGTGCCTGTTCTCAGCATTTCCACAGGAACTAGAGCCTTGTCAACTAGCTCTGGGGCTACTTGGCTTGGTGTCAAATCTTCATGTTTAACTTAAAAAACATATAGATTTTATTTTCCTGAAATACATCAAAAATATTTTTCTAAATATTCTTGTTTGACATTTCCCAACAAACTGGCTGTAGGTGACAATGTGACAAATATGTGACAAAGGCAGTTATGTCCCACTGCCTTTGACTCTGTGCAACTTCCCACAGCAGCTGGGCCTAGCAGACAGTCTCAGGGCCTGGCTTCCTGAGACTGTGACCAAGGCCTCTGGGCAGGACATACCCTCAGTACATGGAGGAGATACGCCCGAGTGACAATTAAATTTCATGGTTGACATTCTACAGGTAGATGGGTCTCCCACTTCCCTATTCAGAGGGATGACCCACTCCTCAAAACAAGGTGCAGGGTTTTGTCAGTCACCCCCATGCAATGCAATCACCTGATGCAGCCCTACAGAAGCAGATGTGACCCCCACAGTGGTGGGAGGCTACACCCCCATCCACAGGCCATGGTTGGAACTGCCTGTGTCCTTCTGATCACCATGGACTTGATGACCCCACCTAGAAACAATGGGCCTGTTTTAAATAGAGACTAACTGGAAAATGAAGCAGGAGATGGGTATAAGACTTCCTCTTTGATCAAAGAACTTTAGGGTTTGTTCATGGGGTGTTCTTCAGATATTCTTGAAATTATGAAAGGGTTATTCCTGTAAGGATGAGTCTTGGGTGAGGACTTTGGGAGACTTTGGTTTCTTCCATGAAAAACCTAGAGTTTGGTCAATGAAACCATAATGTACCCCTGTTTGCACACATTTTTAAAGATATTTGGTCATAACTACAGAAATCCTTCCCTTGGAGCTAGGCATCACTGCATTCACCAGGCTGGGTCAGCCCATGACATCCTCCTAGCAGCCCTTTCCTAATTTTACAGTAATCATCCAGCTGCTCAAGGTCATCTAGTCTGCCCAAGGTCACTTTGGTGTGCCAAAGTTGAGCAGTGTGCCCTGGGTGGTAATGACATCCAGAACTCCATCAGGGGACAGGCTTCCTGCAGCTGGCACGCTCATCACTGCACTGTCTGTCACTTTCTGCCTGTATGTGCCAACAGCCTCTACACAAAAGGCTCTGCCTACTGCCAGGGTGCTACCAACCACCCTGACTGGCTCTTCTAAAACCTGCACATGGCTTCTGTGCAAATAGGAGACCAGCTGCACAGAGCAGGGTCAGCTGGAACAATGAGCACCATTTACTGCTGACCCAGGGGAAGGGCTGCCACCTATTTGTCAGTTTGTCATCCTGTGATGCTTTCATGTTGCTGTAATGCTGGAAGCTATGCCATCGGTATTTTATACACTGGCATGGTCATCCATGGTGGACAGGTTTCAGCAGAACTTACAGACTAAGACAGACTAGGAAGAAAGGCCTAATGATCTCCTTCTGAAAATTAGCCATGAAAATCCTATGGATCACAACAGAATGTTTTTCAATGTAGTGCTGGAAGATAAGCCCCCTCGGTTGGAAGGCACTCACAGTACACAGTGACCTGCATAAGGGACTTGACCAAACCAACAATCGCGAGGATAATGCAGGACCAGGCAGTGTTTTGTTCTATTATACATGAGGTTGCCATGAGTCAGAGCAAACTCAATAGCAACTAACAACAAGGAGAAGGTGGCATCATGTTCCGTCATTAGGAACTGAATCTGATTTTCTAGAATTTTAGCACTTATGAGTATTACTCACCCTAAGATAAGAATCCTGTACTCTTGGATACATGATAATTAAGCCTGTGGCTGTAGAGTATTTGATTTGATTCTGGAAGCTGTTAAAAGATGGCTTCTTTTTGTTCCATCATGAAATTCAACATTGCTCATTTTCCCGAGTTGGTGTCTGTAAGCATCTCCCCAGGCCATGCCAAGCTCTTTGAGCCATTAGTATAAAGTTGCCATGTATTGTATGTGGAGTTCAGCTTTTTACAGAGGCTTGAAGAGAGTTTTTCTGTCCTCATGTGTCTGTGGTGGCAAACAAGCACCCCAGAACGATGTCCAAGTGGATACTGGCACTACATTCATGACAGATTCCAGATTCCACCCAGAAGGAAGGCATCCTCGCCCAGCAGTGCTGGCAAGGAAGCCTTTCTTGTTTTCATTATCATGAGGATCAGCACACAGGGTCGCTCTGCAGGCCTGGAGACTTCATAGGGCAATGGGGGTGCTAGGTGGGTGGTCGCGTGGGCAAGAGGTAGTGTGTAGAGGAGTCTGATGATCTGGCAGGCAGCCCTCCTGCAGTACACTAACCAGGGCCAGATCCTCCCTGGAGCAACTCGCCCTTCCCCAGACTGCTGTGGCACAACGAGGCCCTCTCAGGGTCTAAGGATGCAGGGAATTGGCTGGGTGGGAGGCAAGACCCAGGCACACCTTGGGTGGGTGTGGGAAGGGGCCTCTTCACCATGCTGCCATTCAGCTCTAATGCTCTCTCTCCCTCTCCTGTCCCTTCTCCTAGTCCCCACCGAAAGGTGCCACCATCCCCTACCGCCCAAAGCCCGCCTCCACCCCTGTCATTTTTGCAGGTGGTCAGGTAAGAGCCGACCCACTCGCGGCCTCCACGGCCAACCTCAGCCTTTTACTGCAGCACCAGCCGCTGCCTGTTAGTGCACTCAGGTTTTCTTGCCTTCGCACGTGCATGCCTGGTCATGGTGGGACACAGAGCTCTTTATGGATGGGGCGGGGACATGGGCCACAGGTCAGACGTGGACTGGGAGGCCCAGAAACTGTGGCCAGAGAGTGGATTAGAAGGTCTGTGGAAGAAGCCAGCAGAGGGAGCTGGGCCCTCTCTTTTCTTAGCATTAAGCTCCAACCTTGGGCTCTTTTGACCTGGAGGCTCCAGCCAAGGGAGCTGCACTGACCTCAGGCAGTGCTGGCTGTGTGGAGCATCCAGTGGGGCTTGTGACTTCACCACAGGCCCCAGATGCAGTAGAGGGACTTTGAAAACATCTGAGCATGTGGATGGACTTGAAGAGCTCTGGGTCCACCTCGCGACCATGTCTTTATTCAAGGGAGAGTTAGGACAGAGATGTCCCCAGAGTGACCTAAGGAAGTGGGGAAGTGGGTGTGCTTTTATCACTCAAAAAGAAAGAGACAAATGAAATTTCCTCCCTGTTGTCTTCTAAAATATAAAGGAGTCTTATCAGATGCTTTGTATTATTTACGCATTAGATGAAAGGACAGAAAGTCTGAAATTATCAACTTTATTTCACCACATGCAAGGTGCTATCTCCATAGTGACAGAGGCACAGACCCCACACAATGTACATGTTTGAGAAGGCATTGCTCTGGGCCAATCCACTGCCACCCCTGCCCTGGTCCTATGGGGATTTCTTGGGGGTGAAACATGTCTGTTATGAGTCCCTCTCAACTCTAGTCCTACTGTGAGTTTGTGCTCTGTGCCCCTGCAGCTGAGAGTCTCTGAATTGCTGTGTTGCTTGCTGTAAAAAGCCATCACAAACTACATTACCCTCATGTCACTCTTACAATGACCCCTAAGATTATTCCTTTTTTACAAGGGGAGGAGCAAGACTCAGTGAGGGGAGAGCCTCCCTGACTTCACAGCTCCTTGGGGGCCGTGAGACTGCTCTTTCCCCTCACCTGACCAACTGCAGGGGCACCGGGTACAGAGCCACAATGGGACAATTGGCCAAGGACCCAGAGAAGTCACTGTCTAAACTCCCTTTCCAGGCTTCTGCAAAATTTGTTAGCTACACAGGTTAGCTACCTTTGTGGACTCAACCTTAGCATCTGGGCAGACTCATGATAATGTCACGCAGTGAAACTTTGGATTTTGTTGAAAGAGAAGGTGAATTTATACAGATGAGCTGTGGGCAGTCTGTGAAACAACACACTGGAGTCACAGTGTTATGTACAAGGACATCAGAGTAACTGGGGGTCCTCCCTGCTCCCCAGCCTCCTTCTTCACCTGTGAAATGGGCGGTGCAAGTAAATTTCTGATTTCTGCAAGTAAAGGGGGCTGAGGTCACTAGCAAATGATAAGACACCATCATGATGGGGCCCTTGTTCCTCACAGTTGTCCCTAACATGTCAGGCATCTTGAAACCAAGTGCCCTGTGCCTAGGGATACAATCTCACAAGGGTCAGTGTGTGTACCAAGGTGTTCACACAGAAGGAAAGTCAGAGTCACAGGGAGCACCTATGCATGGGGAGTAACTGAGAAGTAAATGAGGTATGCATAGACCCAATCCAGAGAGGCTGCCTGAGGGCTCCTCTAGAGCACTGCCCCCAACTGGTCAGTGCAGGATTCAGGACACTCTAGAGCTTGGAGAAGTGCAGCTTCAAAACTGCCTGACTTATTTCTGTGATTCACATCCATTAGGAAACTAGACATGCACCTGACTCAGGAAACTCTGTCACTGTCCCTGGGAAGATAGTTGCTGTGGGGCTGGGGCTCACCAAGGGTGGAGTGTCCCAGCTATCTCCGTGCTCAAAGCACAAGACAGTTCAGGGCAGGTCCCATCCCAGTGCCCTGCATAGATGTCAGAGATCTTATTTAGTCAGCACCTTCCAGGGAGCACAGCAGTACTAGACTCAAATAAATAAAATGAATAAACAAGTAAGTCAGAGATGTTAAATTGGGTCAGAGAAGAGAATAATCCTGCTAGGAATGAGCACCTCACACACAAGTTGAGCCCTTTCAAGGCAAGGCAGCTGAGCATTGTCTGACTCTGAGGGGAGAAGATGCGTCCATGGCTGGCTATGTGCTGTGACACACTGGCACAGGTCCTGAAGTGCAACTGCACAAACCTTGCTGGCAGGGTCCAGACACACCATTTCTGGTGGCCCCTAGCAAGTCCTATTCCTCACTAGGATACCTTATAGCATCTGATAAGATTCTTTTATTCCCTGCACTTGGGACGGTTCCTCTGCAGGACAGAATGCCCATCACACTTGGGCTGCAGCCTGCCTCTGCCAGGCTTTAACCTCCAAGAAAATACTTGGCATAGTCAAAACCTGGGGTCTGGCAGGATCTTGGAGAGCCACCGTTCTGTATGGGAGGAGTTGCCTCCACAAGTGCTCAGTGATGCCTTCATATGGACACAGGCATAGAGCCTGCCAGTGTGTCTATAGGAGGGTGGTTGGGGCCCACGTGGGGACTCCGCATGGGGGAGTACCACCCTGTGCCCCTTCTGGGCTCCAGTCCAACCTGTCAGGCAGTCTCAGTGTTACCTGGAAGGTGTGTGACAATTTCCCCCAAGATTCTGGTGGTATGTCTTTGGTCTATACTCTCCCTTCACTCAGTGTGGTCTTTTTTGTTTGTTTTTCAAAATTTTCTAAATCATCTGACCTGATAATCTAGGGCATTTCTAGGGTGGGGCCTAGCTGTACGGTATCTGTATCAGCCACATGGATCTTCAAAACAGGAAGGGTCAGAGGGGACTGCAGGGTTGATGGACTAGATTGTCTGAGTCACTGTTCTTAAAGGTGAGGGAAATAAAGAAGCCAGAATGTGTTCTCCAGAGCCTGCTGGGATACCCTCCCCACCCCACCCCCAGTTTGTGTGAGTGCAAGTATGCAAGTCTGCAGAGCCTCAACTGAAACTCTGTACCAAAGATGAGTGGTCACTATGTGACTGGTTTGGAGCCTTCTGTACTTCATCTGACTTTTGCAAAGTTCTTTTTGGTTACTTACCTCTTAAAGCTTTTTTATTTGGTTTCCTTCCAGGACACATATAAGTGTTCACTCTGATGCTTGATTAAATTTTCATAGGGCTAATGTGACCTGATTACTGGGGGTTCAAATGTATTGTTTGTATGGTTGTTTTTTGTTTTTTGTTTTTTTTTTTCAATCCTTTAAGAAAAGTGGGCGAGTGAGAGTCAGAAATATTTGAGCTCAATTATTCCCCTCCTACCTAGATGACTCAGCCAACCTCAGTTTCCTGTGGGCTATGTGGGGTGTTTGGGGCTTGCCTGTCTGGCTGTGACTGCTGGTCAGTAAGGGTACTGACTTACAGCACACAGCCTTTACTCCCAAGTATCTGCCCCTCCAGTGCCAGAAGGGTCAGTCATCCATCCTCCAGACTAAGGACATGGAACAGAGATGCACATCAGGAAAGAATGCTCTGACCTGGAGGCCCTGCATGTGGAGGAGGCTGTCTTGGGACACCATCAGGGATAGTAGGCTCCACTGGGCAGGCTAACAATATCTCTCTTTTCCAGGCCTACACTATCCAGGGACAGTATGCCATCCCACACCCAGATGTGAGTGTCCCTTCTAACTCCCTCCAACCTTTTTTCTTGTTTTCATTTACCCCTGCATGCTGCTGTTTAGTGACTACCAATATTAATATTACACAATAATATTAATACATTCCTAAGTGTTCCTGACCTGTGTTGTATCCACATTACCTCGAATAACCTTTTAACCTCTTAGCACTAACTGTACTCATGGTGAGGACTTGGCCTGATGTAAATTGTCTCAGTTGTCTGCTGCAGTCCAGGGTTTCCTGCACACACCTGGTGCTCGTGCTTGGACAGTGACCACATACCTCCCCATGCCACACCCACCTGGCTGCACACCAGAGCCACAGATGGGGTAGCCTGAGCCAGTTTCCTTGGTGGGCCAGCCTCTTATGGTGCTTTAGGCAGACCCAACAAATAAAGCCCCCTAAAGTGTGTTGGAAAGGAGATTTGAAGCCTGGTCCTACCAAACTCTTCTCCTCTCTCAGCCCAAGTTGAAAGTCGAGGCCTTTGCTGGTGTGGAGACCCAGCTGTTGAGGTCCACAGAGCAGGTCTTCTCTTTCACTCCAGAGTCAGTAAATGCTGCATGGGTGTGTAGGTCCTTGTACTGCTGCCGAAAGACTGTTTGGGCCAGGTTGTCTTGTGTGGATAAGGATGTCTCCTAATTGAATGATAATCAGAATGTAGTATTAGTGCTATTCAGTGGGATGTCTTAAAATAAACTATAGAGAGAGAAGTCACAGGACACCTCTGCCTATGCCCAACAGGGACAGAGACATGCATCTTGGTGTGGTACCCCAGGATCAGAGCGGGTACTGTGGGGCCAAGGGGGCAGACGGGGGACAAAGAGGCATCCTAGGATCAAAGGAGCAGTGTGCCACAACCATAGGAGCTCTGATCCTTCCAGGACCAAGAGATGACAGCAGCAACCAATGACCAAAGAGAATCTTGAAAGAATCTTAAGTACTGTGGTCAATGACGTCTGCATAGTTGGTGCCAGAAAAAAAGGGAGGGAGAAAAAAAAGAGAGGAAACCAAGAAAAGGGAAAGAAAAGAAAAAAGTTTCTGCTGTTTCTACCAAAAGAAGGGGAAGTAAAGGTGAGAATCTGCTTCTGTGCAGCTCTTGGCAGAGGGAGCAAACTTGAAGTTAATTTTGAAAAGGCTTTTTTTTCCTCACTAAGCCATTTCGAGTTTCTACCCAGCTTAGTAGCTACAATCATGAAACAATGTATGTGATCATGGAAGTGCCCAGCGCCAAGTAAATGTGCATCTCATTAAGAGATGAAGACAGGCCAGAAGAGGTCTTTTAAGACTCCTAAACAGATATTTGACACTCATAATATTTAACACTAATATTATTTGACACTAAATATTTAACATTAAGTATTTGAAATATAGGACTCAATTTAATACAATTGCAGGAAGACTTCTATTGAGTAGAAAATAAGTACTGATGGCTTTCCCTTTTTTAAAAACTGTTAGAAACAACACACGTGCAAGTCAAATCATAGAGAAGCGCTGATAAACAAGAGGACCTTCCTTCCTCACCCCAAGGGTGCTCCCCAAGGCCTTGTCTAATGGCTCCTATGCTTAGACCTTGGGTAATTCCTACCATATATGCTAACTACCATATATCTCTTTCAGGGTATCTCCTTTCCTGGACCCTAGTATATGCAGTCTATCAGGACTCACTGAAGGGCTGGGGACGTGGCCTCTTCCTACCCACCTTCTTTCTCCTGAAAGAAATCTGTTATTAGAGCTTTAATTGCCCAAGCTCATTGGCAATGCTAGATAGCCAGGAAGGAAGGGACACAGCTGCCCATATTCAGGAGTCTAGTTGGCTAAGGTCCAGTTCTCTGCGTGGCTCACTCCAGTCCCTGACTTGCCCACCCAAGTCACAAGGGTCTCCTCGGAGCCCACAGACTCCACAGCTCCCATTGCTGCCACTACCTCCACTGTTCCTTGGCACCACATCCTCCCTCTATCTCTTTGCCTTAGGTCCCCTCTCCTTTCCCTCCTTAGGTCACATGTGGAAGTCCTGCTCTGTTAGTGACACACACATCCCATTCTCTGTATTATTGGGAGGGGTTGGGAAGGGTGAGTGTATGAGCCCATGCAGGTCCAGTATTTCCCTTGTAAGTAAGAGTTACAGAAATATGTAAGACTCCAGCAACAATAGTCAAGGGTCATGCCTCATAACTCAGGGTAACAGAGGGAATGTACTAGAAACCTTATGATTCCAGATAGGTGATTTGTCTGCACTGATGTTCTCTTCCTAATTGTCTCATCTGATAGTCCAGCTGTAACTGATGATTTGAAGGTTGATGTGAGCACCTGGGAGGGGCAACAGACCCCAAATGCAGAAATGCCCCTGCAGAGCATTCATATGTGCATGGTATATGTGCTTGTGTGCGTGCATATTCATGTGTATGCATGTGCTCATGTATGAGTGAGTATGTGCTTGCATATATGCACATGTGTAAGTGTAGGAGTGTTGTGCATGTGTGTGACCATGTGCATGGGTGTGTGCATGCCTGTGTGTGTGAGAGTGCAAGGGAAGCACTGTGCATGGGTAAGTTTGATGACTCAAATAGAAGACCTTGAGTAATGGACAGTCAACATGAAAGCCTAGTTGAGTTGCGAGGCCGGCTCAGTCTTCTTTTAGAACTGGGTGCGGGAGGCCTTAGACATTCAAAAATGCATGTATATGTCCAAAGGTAGATTTGAAGTCCTGGTTATTTGAATTTTTAAAACTCTAGGACTCAGAGGAAATGCAGTGGTCTGGTGCTTCTCTGAAGGACACTTTAGCTGGCTTGGTTAAAATGCATTTTCCTTTACCACAGAGAATAGTTCTAAAGTTGTATACTACACAGGTTTTCTGTCCCAGAGAACCTAGAGTTCTCATTCACACCTCCTAAGGCACAGACATTTGAGTTGACCAAAAATATATCTTGTCTGAAATTTCCAAATGTGCAGGTGTGTGTGTGTGTCTGAGCAAGAGATTCCGATTGAAAGATTTTGATTGGTTTGATTGATTGATTTTTTTTTATCAATTGGTTGTTTTTTTGTTTCCCATTATGTGAAATGAGTAGTTTCACAGATATTTGTTTCAGATTAGTTTAAACTAATTTATAACCAGCCTTTATCTAATTGCCTCATTGTCTTTGGTAGAGATTTTAAATATTTGGTTATAAATTATACTTAGAATGGCTTTCTGTGCAAGGAATTTTATTTTCTATATCCATGCCATGTGATTGGGTGAGCAGCTGTTACTGATCAAATACTGGAAACTTTCATACTTGCTTTTTTTTGCAGGTGTATAAAATTGAAGATTTGAATAATCACTTAGATAACTACTGTTACATTTTTAAAGAAAAATAAAATGATTGCTTAGTGACATAGGTGATGATGGCTAGGAAGGTCATTTTTATCCAAGTTTAATATTTAACAGAACTTATGAAAGTCTCAATGTTTTAGAATACAAATATAAAAATTATAGGAAATATTTGTTAATATAAATTTCATTATATAATGTAATTAAGCCCACAATTTAAATATCAACTGAAATGGCTGGCACATGTACACCGTCATCCTCTTTGAACAACTTCTATTACTGGGCTGTGTGGCACATAGATCGGACACATTTGTTGTTGCTATGTGCCATCAATTTGGACCTGACTCATAGCGACCCCTCCTTGGGTTTCCGAGGCAGTATCACTACAGAAGTAGATTGCCCAACCTTCCTTCCGAGGAGTGGCTTGTGGGTTTGAACCACCAGCCTTCTGGTTAGCAGTCAATTGCCTTAGGCATTACGCTACCAGAGCTGCTACATAGAAGAGCTCCTACAAGAAAGTATATTCCCTGGACCTAAGTATTTCTTCATCTAGAACTAATTTGTATTTTTTTTTCTTCTTTGCCCTGTTTTAAGGAACACTTTCTAGTTTACATTTATTTAAGAATTATCTTTGGCACCCACCATTTTCCCATTTCTTCCAGTCTCTCAGCATACCCCTTACATTGTTCCACCTAACTCCTATGGAAACTTAGGGTGCTTCTGATGCTCAGGGCTTCTGAAGAGGCACACGTGTTGCTAGGTGCTGGGGAGGACTTGGGTGCTAAAATCAACATTGCTGACATCACCAGTTGGCCTGACTGACCCAGTGCTCAAGGATGGCTCTAGTCAGTCCCCATTCTGTCTGACCCAGTGCTGGAAAATGGCTCATCTTCAGCCTTGAAAATGATGCACATGTCCTTAGCATTTTCTACTGGAGCACATGCAGCTGTGGACATATACCATGCAACATATACAATACCATGAAGGAATTGTGTTCTTCTGGAAGAAATCAATGCACTTCAAAAGTACTATCTTATGTGTGAATTGTTTTACTAGTCTTCGGCCTTTCTAAATCACTGCTTTACTTAGCATGCCATCATTTTAAGAGGATGCTAAAAACGAGCAGAAATAAAAACAATGTGATAGCTGATAAAGAATCGGTCATCCGTGCAACCTTACCTGAACCCTGCATTGAGCCTTAGAAGCATATGGCAACACCATCATTCCAATTGTACACATGAAGGAGTGGGATCCTCAAGCCAGTCAGTGAATGGTAGAACTGGCACACTCACCCAAGGTTGCAGCAGAGAACATTAGTAATTCTGGGAGAGTGAATGCTAAAAAGTTTGTTCTTTAATAATAAATTGTGAGAAGTTATAGGCATATTTCCCATTATTCCCATTATTGTTGTTGTTAGGTGCCATCAAGTCAGTTTCAACTCACAGTGACCCCATGTACTATAGAATGGAACACTTCTCCATCCTGCTCCATCCTCACAATCATTGCCATGCTTGAGTCTTGTCATTGCAGTCACTGTGTCAATCCATCTCATTGAGGGTCTTCCTTTTTTTTGCTGACTTTCTACTTTACCAAGCATGATATCCTTCTACAGAACTGGTCCCTCCTGATAACATGTCCAAAGTACAAAAGGCAAAGTCTCACCACTCTCTCTTCTAAGGAACATTCTG